AGGGTATACCCTGCGCTTTTTGCGACGCGGCGGGGTGAAAGTGGGTTTTGACCAATCATACGGGTTCATCTCACGTCGCTGTACACTATGTACCCAGGTCTGTCGCTTTTCGACCAGGGNGGAAAAACAGGGTACAGTTTTTGAGAAAAGTAGCCACGGCAGGGTATACCCTGCGCTTTTTGCGACGCGGCGGGGTGAAAGTGGGTTTTGACCAATCATATGGGTTCATTTCACGTCGCTGTACACTATGTACCCAGGTCTGTCGCTTTTCGACCAGGGTATACCCTGTTGTGTCGCTTTCCCTTTTTTTTGAAGTAAGTGCTGTAACCATATATTGCTGTAACCATTGTTTTTGCACACACATCCAAAGTAGGACCAAGATACGATCCGAACGGAGGATCTTACTGATGGTTGATCAGCAAGAGGCCCGGCTATGGATGCGTCCCTCTTGGCGCCACCTGTGGAGCTTGGGAATCCGAGACCCTCGGGCTTGTTCTCCCTCGCCCCTTCGCCGGCACTCTCTTTTTTGTCTCTCTCTTCTGAGACCCTCTCCTCTCTAAATCTCAACGAAGAGNGAAGTAAGTGCTGTAACCATATATTGCTGTAACCATTGTTTTTGCACACACATCCAAAGTAGGACCAAGATACGATCCGAACGGAGGATCTTACTGATGGTTGATCAGCAAGAGGCCCGGCTATGGATGCGTCCCTCTTGGCGCCACCTGTGGAGCTTGGGAATCCGAGACCCTCGGGCTTGTTCTCCCTCGCCCCTTCGCCGGCACTCTCTTTTTTGTCTCTCTCTTCTGAGACCCTCTCCTCTCTAAATCTCAACGAAGAGAACTGCCAGCCCTTATTAGTTGGCAAAGACTACTGCGACTTGGGCCTCTCCCCAACGAAGGAAGCCTGTGTCCTTATTGGCGTCGACGAATTACAAGATACTCTGGTGGTACTGGAGGTAGATAGAGGTGAGAGACGGCGAAAAAATCAGCCGTTCAACGCGCTCGCGACAAAAAGGCGGACGCGGCATAGTCTTTAGGAAAAGAGGCACGACGAGGAGCAGCAACGACGCCGCCTTGCGGCGGAAGACGAGATAGAGAAGCTAAAGCAACGACTCGTCATTAATCGCTCGAAAACCCCGCCGGCACGTGGGACACCGCCGGAACGCATGCCTGCTTCGCGCCCCTCGGGTGGTAGCAGCCCTCCGGAGAAAAAGTCCGATCACCCCAAATTTCCAATTGCAAATTGCGTTGTGAATTCCACCTCGAAACTGGTGCAACATGTGTTCCCGCTCGGGTGAACAACCACCCTGTGTAAGGAATTACAACCGACACAGCCGCTGATGTACCTCCTGTATCATCAGGGAAATTTTTGGAAGAACACCCCACACTTCAAAATAAAAAGCTTCGTCCAGTACCACCTGGAGCGGTACAATTAAAGTAGTAAGTGCTGACGGGTCACCTCTTCTTGAAATTTTGGGATACCTACGGTTCAATCTCAGGCCTTTTCTTACGATTTGAAAAATTCCAGTTGAAAATTGAAATTTTCAATTCCCAGCCGAACAGAGCTTCTTACGGTTTGGAAAATCGTTTTTTTTTTAAATAAATTTTCAACTCGGGCCAAAAAAAATTGGAAACGCTCTGCGCAGTTGAAAATTTCAGAATTTTTCAAGTCGCAACCGAGTTGAAAAGGCTAGTTGGAAATCCAAACCTAGGGGGGGGGGGTGCATCACACAGACCCCCCACCACACCTGCTTTGGTCGCTGGAAGCACCCGACAGTGTACAACAACAGCGCACCACAAAGCAGCACAGCACAGCACAGCACAGCACAGCACAGCGCGTGACAGCCTAGCACAGCGCCTCACACGCGCAGACCCGGTGCTTTGTTGTCAGCGTGGTGCGTCCGATATGGGGACCGGCGACGACGATCTGTTGGAAGCAACAGCAGTGCTGTCAGTCGCGTTGACGGCTTTGCACCAGTTCCAAGAGGAGGATGGTCGCCGGCGCACAGCACGCTCGGTATCCTATTGGGATGCCGTGCCGTTCGCGCGCTTGATCACGGAACACGCATACCAGATGGCCGCGTTCTGAAGGATGTTCGTTCACGTTTTTGGCTGTCGCCTTGTCGCAACCGAGTATCGACCGCATCAGCGCATCGGAGTAGTTGTTCACGCCTTGCAGCAGCAGTGGTTCCACTAGCGGCATGATGTTGCGTGGTTTGACTAGCGG